TTGACTTAACGAGGAAGCAAATAACCGGGGTGCATGATATTTGGTCCACAAAATAATGTCGTCATGTACATTACAAGACTACTTGGCCCTTACTCTAATTGAGTAGAGGGACTAATTAACCCCAGATTAATGGTGACACCCTTTTCACTGCCTCCAAAATCCAATCCATTCGGGGGGAGAGAAATTCCGAAAATCCGGACAAAATCTCTGCCTTGAGCTTAGTTGATGGGAGATTAATGATTTGGATTTGTACTGCGAGAAAGAAAGTGGAAGACGTGAGCAGGGTAGTGAAAGTGGACAGATGGTCGGGTCCAGTCCAGTCCGGGATCTGGATGGAGGAGAAAGTGCAGTGTTTCGGAGGAAATGGGACTTTCTCCCGGTCGAAAGGATGCCAATAATGGATGGGTGAAAGTGGGCTAAATACTGTGCCAACCTGCTATTAGCTGGCGGGGATAATTATTTGAACTTGAAGTTTACCCGCCTACTAGTTAAAAATAGGGATCTTGGACTTGAAATAAACATCCGAATTGGATGTTTTTCCGAGACAAATTATTTGAAAAAAACGTTGCATTGCACCGGAAATCAGCACTTTTTTCTTGGTTTAATTTAACTCCCAGTATCTCCAACTTGACCAAACACTGGGCCTCCTTAGCTAAAAGATCACCCCAGTTCGGACCTTCTTCCTTCCGCCCGTCCCCATTTCACGAGAAGGAACAAAACTAGGGAGAAAAGAAGAAGCTGGCTGGCTGGTCGGTAGTCCAGGCTGACTTTTATTTTAGGGTTGGTCGGCCTTCTCTTTTGGTGTTACGTGAGCTCTCCAAGTGGTGAAAGCATGTTGGACTATCGGCCGGATGGATGGGTCGAGGCAGAGGAACAAATCTTCTTTCTCTGGCTCTTCGTGAAATCACTCCAGTCCGATGATATTGATGTCCGATGCGAGAATTGAATTGACCAAGAGTAACATTATGGCTTACTACTACGACTCGAAATCTACCAAATTCACCAGTACATGGATCTCGTGTCATCCCATATATCGTGGTTGGGCTCGATTTGTTACCATTATTAGTAGATGGATGGATGGATGAGCCCATTATACTGCCAAGTGGGTGAAATACCCTCTTATAAATTGGGGATAATAAATTGACACCATTTCGCATATTAATTTCGGGAATTTGTTTATTTATTAAAATAATTTTGCAAAGTTTACGCAGTCTAATTCGCACCATTTCACCCACAATTTCGTAAAATTTAACTTCGTACAAGCGCAATTTCTCATTTATTAATACAATTTTACAAATTTTACGCACTTCATTCACCCACTAACTTCCAAAATTTCGCAAAATTTTACATCATGCTTACAAGCGCGTAATTTTACAAAGATAACGCAGCTTATAAACATCCTTGTAAATTACAGAACAAATTTTCACCTCATAAATGTGCAAATTTCCTCACAAAATCTCTAAGAGTGCCTCATCCACTTGCCTCCTTAAGCTGTGTTCTGCCTGCCCTGTGTACGTCGGAAGTGGGTTGGACGTATGATGGAAGATGCAATTTAATGGCTCACTTACCATTCCGCCATCCAACCCTTTACTACACAGCTTCTCCCTCTGCTGCTTCTGCTGCTGCTTTGTTGCAAATAATGGGCCGTGTGGTACATACACTACACTACATCCATATATCAGTTATGTATATCAGGCTGGCTGGGTAAGAAGAGAGAGAGAAACAAAAAGTGAAAGTCCGGCTAACATGGTCATAAATCAGGGTAGCAAATCAGTCTCTCTCCGTACTTCTGGCTAATAAGGGGCAGCCAGGAGAAAGTAGAAAATCTTCCCACTTTCTCTCTCCTCTCGTCATCTCGCATTTCAATTCTTATTCTTCCCCGAAATTTTCCTCGTCCTCTTGCTTTCCTTGCTGTCTCTTTTTTATCTTTTTTCTTCCTCCCTGAATGTGATATGTGAGCAATAAAGGGAAAAAAGAGGGAAAGATTTCCTCTCCTCCTCAGACTTTCTCTCCAAGACAATAATAACACTCGAGAAACTAAACTGTGAGTTCTGCTGGTAGTCTTGCCGTTTATGGCAGACTTTCTCTCTTACTTTTTTCTACGGGACGACGACTACGACGACGGCTGTTGCTCTCATGTCGGGCTGGTTGTCCAACTTGGTAGTAAGATTGTGGAGAAAGTTCATGTCGGTCGTATAATAATGTAGGTGGGTGGGTAGGGATATATATGCCTACCTGGTTGGTCGTGGTTGTAGGTGATGATATGTATTATGTTACCTGGTGGAGAAAGTATGGTGTTTTTACTCATTCTGCTTTATGTCCCCAGTCGTCGCTTACTTTCTCCTTTGTGGTTATTTTATTTTATCCCTTGGGCTAAAACTTTGTCTCCAAAGCGGCAGTAAGACGAGTCTTGTAATGTGAGATGGATATAGCGGGGTAGGAAATCATGCGACACAACTCTTCGATTAGTGACTTTCTCTGTTTCTGCGGAGGTCTTCCTTTTACAAGAAATGGTGTGGTGTCCTGATGGTATGTAGGGAGAGGGGCACGCTTAGAAATTGTGGAGGTGATTGTTGTAAGGAGGGGAATGGGTTTAATGGGAAGGAAATTGTAATGTTTTTAAGATGGAGGTGTAGAACGATTGGTGGCAATTTGATAAAGGTATTAGATGCACATTAGAACTTTGCGATTGAGATGATTGGGCATAATTTTATGTATTTATAATCCAGTAAGTCTGCAAAATATGGTGCAAATTTTTACAAATTAGTAGAAACGCGGTAGCAATTTGGCAAAGATATTAGATGCACATTAGAACTTTTGAATCAGGTAATTATACATGATTTCCTGTGTTTATAATCTAGTAAATTTGCAAAATTATAGTATACATTTTTACAAACTAATATAAACGGCTTGTTGGATAACAAATTTGTATTTTCCGGAAATTAATGCAACAACTCGGTGTAAAAGACGCAATCAGAATTTTATTGCCAACTTATTTTGTGTGAGCAATAAATTTGCAGCTTCGTAACCTTCCTAACCTCATAAATTATTCCCAATTTTTTAAGTGTGTACACATGCATTTGCTAATAAGTCCAAGTTTCACGGCCAACTAAGTTTTTCCAGTGACATGACTGACTAACTGACTGACGGACGGACGGACGTAGGAGGGACGGACGTTCGCTCATCCTTTTAAAGGTTCAAACACGCTGTTGCTTCGCTTTATCCAAAAGTTCGAGTGGGGTGTGCAGGGGACGTTGAAAAAGTTGACATTTTGACAAATGGGTTCCCGTCAAGTTTAAGCCCCACCCACCCACGAGCGACTCTGCTGCTTGCTGCTAGTTGGAAAAGACGAGGAGGATGTCGTCTTTTGCTCTGCTGCTAAATTCTTCCCCGACACTTTTCTCTGTTCACTTCGCATTTATTTTATGCACCAGTTATCCCGCTGACAAGTCAGACAGGCGTAATCCTTTCTTATTCTTGGTCCCGTTCTGTTTATCAAAATAAAATCTGGCAATAAACAAGGCCCAAGTTTGAGGAGGAAAGAAGGAGGCTTGTCATAACATAAAATCCATTATACATACACTCACAGGCACAGGGCAGAGTTGTGCTGGGGCGGATGTCGAGGGAATTTAGGGCATTTATGGCAAGCCCGATTTGTCCAGGACTTGAATTGGTGTCCTCATAAAGCCAGTGTTGTAACAATTGTGAAGGGAATTTATGCTAAAAATGCCAGAAATGCCTGACCCTTATTTTAATTCATTCGCATTTCATAATTATTATTATAATTATTATTATTCATTTAGTAATTATTAATTATACTATCTGGTTTCCCCTCGTGAAGCCGGTACACACAGCAAAGTTGTGCTTGTGCCGATATAGAGGAAATTTGACCATTTATGGCAAGCCCGATTTATCCATGATTTAAATTGATGTCTCGATAAGACCGATGTTGTAGTGAGTAATGACGCCTCGCATTTATGCCATGACAAAAATGCTGAGCATTTATTTTATGCCAAGATCTTCTAGGCAGTTACGGCATGCCTTATTTGCCCTTGACCTTATTTAAATTTAAGCCCTCATAAGATCAATGTTTAAGGAATATATGCCAAAAATGCCTAAAATATGTGGCAAGTATTTTTTCAAGCCCTGCCCATCCTACAATTCCACTTTCTGCTTTCTCCTCGAGAAGACTGCATCATCGGGTACATGCATGGTACGCATAAGTGTTGTACGTGTATACTCAATGCGGGTGAAATTGGAGGAAATACATAAATGTACCAAGTAATAAATATATGTATGTAATATGCTTGTAACAATGATATGATAAAAATGCATTTTGTGCAGAGACACGTTTTTGTCTTCTTTTTTGTACAAAATTGATTATTTTGCTAATGCAAGAAAGAAATTGTAATATTTCATGCAATTCATGAGATTCGTTCTGTTATGAATGCACAAATGTAAAACTAAAGAATGAATTAATTTACAAAATGAAATATTCTGCTAGTTATCAACGCCAGTAACAAAAATTTGAATTATCAATTATACTTTAATAATCGTAGATACCAGGCCTTCCGTTTATTGATGACTAAAAACAATTTTTAGATAAAATTTTACTCAACTTTTTTCAAAAAAATTTTACTATGTTTTTTACTATTTTATTCATATATATGCAAATTCTGCAAAAAAATAAAATAAATTCAACCCGAATTCCTACCCAAATTCGGATAAAAATCGAATCCCATATATAAAAAATAACCCACAATTTCATTTCATTTCATCTCTTTCAATTCCTTTTCCCCTGAAAAAAATAAGAATTTCTATTCGAACGGATCACTTCGCTTTCTTCCGTCTTTTATAGCCCCAACGGCTCACTTTCACTCATATCTTTCTTCTATTTACTATTATTTACTTTCTCCCTGTCGTTCGCCGCTGCTGCTGCTCTGCTCTTTTTCTGTCCGAATCAATTGAACGAATCCCAACAAGCAATCAACCCCACTTTGTAAAATGATCCATCAAAATAATTTTTTTATTTCATTCCACCATTCATTCCATTCATTTTTCCGAGTTTCCTTCCTTTACAATACGTACCATAAAGTTACATAGGATAAATTGGATTGTGTGTACTTTACTTAGAAAAAAGTCGGTCGGGGTTTATATAACTTGATCTACTTTCACTTTGGATATAATTTACTTTCACTTTCTCCCGTATAATAATTCTTGTGTGTCGGCTCCGAGATAAATAAACTCTGTGTGTGTGTCATTTCTTTTGGGCTTCTTGGTGGACAGGGGAGCCACGCCTCACCATTTTGATTTGATTCATCACCCTCTCAATGGTCCGGCAGGGTCAGGATGAGTGTAAGAGAGGAAAAGAGGGAGAAGATGATGGGGTTTTGGTGGGGGTGGTTGTTGACGGCGTGGTTTGAGTGTTGCATTGCTGCGGGCGTCTCTCCTGTAAAAAATATAGAGAGAAAGTTAGGTGGGGCTATTAAATATGGGGGGAGGGGTAGAATTTTATGGGAGGTGATAAATTATGGGGAGATAACCGGTCTGGTAGTAATTATTAACTTGGTAAAAAATTTGGTAAAACAAGGGACTCAAGTGGTAACAAATTAAGACCGAATTGGTAACGGCAAATATGTGACCGACCGGTCTGGTAGTAAGTTTTGTATAAGATGGAAGTAATTCCCAACTTGGTAAACATTGCGACTCAAATGCTAATAAATCCAGAACAAATTGGTTACGGTAAGTATGTGACCAATTTGACCATAAATCTTTACCAAATTGCACAGTAATGGTCTCGCATCGTTACCATTTGCCGGTACAATACTACCAAACCGGTAAACTGGGTCAACACATCTGGGCTAACCCATAATCTTTCAAAACTTTTAAGTGTGCAACAAAAAAATTTAGTCCCGCGTTGCCCCAACTTCGTTGGTATGTAAGGAGTGAAAGTGCACGATATAAAGATGACGAGGAGCCGGAAAGGACAAAGAGATTCCTTTCCCTGCATTCCATGGAGGGAAGAAAAGAGCATGTCGAGACTTGGTCGCAATCAAATTTCAAACAAGTCCCACCGGAGTCGTTGTGAAATCTCATACCCACCACGGCTCACTTTCCCTACTTTCTCCTCATATTTAACTACGTGGAGAAAAGTGAGAGTCGTGAGCAAGGTGCAGGTTTCAGTCAAAGTGTTGCGAACAGATTGTGTGACATGATACTAAATCCAATTTTCAAAAGTGGCGCCATACTAGGCAGCCTAGTTGGCGGGGTAAATATCACGTTATGGTCCGAGTATTAAAATTAGACCTTTTTAAGGGGCCAAAAAAGGGTCTAATTATAAAATACTAACCATAAATGTGTCCTAAGTAGAAGAATTTTAATTTTTGAAAACTAGCAATTTCTTGAAAGTTGGACGAATAAAAGTAATTTTATTTTTAAGAAACCACCGTCTAATCGCAGACTCGATGGGGCGTTACATACAAATTTCCCGCTACTAATTTCCCCAATTCACCCCAAAGCTTAATCTCTCTTCCAGGTATCTAACGACACCCTGGCACATAAATAATTTTTTTACCGGCCATGACATGGACGAGGATCGTGTTATACGTGAGGCCACCCAGGGCGCAGGTATAAGGTCCGGAATCATTCTGCTTGGCGTTCGCAATATACAACACGGAGACAGCGCCCTCCTTCCTCATTGTGGTTTTCACACTGGAAAGAAGCAGAAAATCAACAAGACCAGAGTTAGAAACCAGACCAGAAATAACAACAATACGGCATACGTTACATTAAACAGTAGTAGTAGTGAAATGATACACTCCATCTTCTTGCCGTACTACATATGATGATGATGAGGAAATAAGTAGTAGTGAAAACGGGCAGGCAGGCGGAGAAAGTCGAAACGACCAACCATCTCATCCCGGGTTTGGTCAATGTGGTGGAATAATGAGGTAACCATTGTCACCCGGAGAGAGAGAGAGAAAGTCTAACTTTCACCCAGCTTGACTTTCACTCTTTCAACTTTCTCTCTACGCCACCCCGAAATGAAATGAGATGAGACATGGAGACATGCTGCCATAAATCAGCAGCCCCACCACCGCCACCCTTATTTCGCCAGTACAGCAATGATAACTCACTTTCTAGCGAGATAAGGGTGGTGGTGGTGGATAATGTAAAATATGCAAATTACGTGCGGGGCGGTTTTTTTAATAGCACTTTAAACCAAGTGGGGACTTGGGAATGGTTAAAAAGGGAGAAAGTAGTCGTGCGTTATAGGAGTCTCAGTTTTTTGGAACGGTTTTTTTGTCCTTGACTGGACAGAAGGAGGCACAAAAAATCTAGAGAGTATCAGGCTTCGATTAGCCCGAGGAAGTCAGTTTTCAACATTTGTTTAGTCGGGGGGGAACACTTTTATGGTTTGGTCTTTTAAATAAGAGGCTGTCCGCTATAATCTTTGCATGTAAAAATATCTTATTTAAAAAATCGAACCATAGTTCCAAGAGGAAACAAAAAAATATAAAATTTCAATCCTAAATTTCTGAATTTGTTTCAAAATTTCAAATCAACGCATTAAGTTTTACAATTACATCGACAGACAGACACTCATTCATAATAAACTTTGCCTCTGCCAAGAACATTAAAATCTATAAAATCTCAATAATAAATTTCTAGACTAGGTTCAAACCTTCTAATCAAATGCATTAAGTTTGAAACAATTAATTGATAGCTCAAACAGACAGACATTCAGACATACATAAACTCCCTCCTAATAAACCCTCCCTCTGCCAAAAACATGTCTCACCCACCCTGGCGAAGAAATACGTTCCAATTCTATTAAGACTTTCACTCCGATCCAACTTTCTCCCAAAACTATGCATTGACGCCATTCTGACAACTTATGTTTGTCCTTGATTGTGCATTTTATGCAATCTAAAATTGAGCCAAATCTATGTCCGTATGTATACGTAATCTTGTTACATTTCACTTTCTTAATTCTCTCATCTTTCCCTTTCTCTCTCTCCGAACGAGGCGACAACAACTTAACTTTACAACAACTTTTGCTGCCTCACCGTTTCCTATTAATTGGGCTAATTAAAACTTGTGCTTTTGCATCTTCACGACTGCTCAAAAGGAGTGAAAGTAACGGTATATTATTGGATGGAGGAGGAGAGAAAACGAGAACTTGTTTGGTTGGGGAGTTTGGCAAACGAGCAGAAACGAGGCATCAGGCAGGGTAATTAACAACTCGAGAAAGTTACTAATTAGCAAGAGTGACGAGAAAGGAAGCAAGGAAAGCAAAGGGCTACCAAAAACTAAATTAACAAACTAAACTCGACTAAAACTGGACTGGACTTATTAATCAATGGATTCATTCAAGTCGGGCATGCATGTGTGTACAATTGCAAAATTTTGAATATTATATAAACCAAACCAAAGGAAACCACCTTCGTTAAAAGTTGGGGGAAAGTTTTTCCTAAAATAGGTAAGTATTCACGCTTGGGTTACGGTTGTAAGGGTGGACTTTGTCTGAGAGCTTAATTTTATCCGTGGGAGAAAGTGGGACATTTATAATGGGATTTAAGGTCACCTTTAATTAAAGATTTACGCCGGGTTGGGCCGCTTGTAGTAAAATTAGTGTAATAGAAAGTTTCGTTTGTTGCGAAAAACAATGGTGTAATGGTTAAAAGCCATTTCTTAAAAATTGAGAAAAACATGATAGTTAAATAAGAATAGATTCGTCCCATTGGTAGTTTTTTTTGTGTAATGAAATTAAAATGTACTCAAAATTATCACACCATGCGCGTATCCGTAGTTTTAAAATTGATAAACAAAATTATTTAAAAAAATATTTTTTTTCTAATTTTTCATCTGTTTTTTAACCAGATAAAAATCAGGTTCAAAAAATAATAATGTAACGTAAAGTCTCGTATTTTACAAAATAAATAATAATTTGATGTCATGATTGAACGCCATTTCATAAAAATGAGAATTAAATTCACTAATAAAGTAACATTAGATTTTGTGAAACTATTCGTTTCGATGAAATAAAAATTCATTAAAAATTATCTCGCCATGTAGCTCCAAAATTTGTAAAAAAATAACAATGAAAAAAATCGCGTGTAGTAAAATTAACGTAACTGAAATTTAAAATAATAATCTGATGTAATCATTAAACGCCATTTCATAAAAATTGAGAAAACATTCACAAATATTAAACAACCGATTTCTCGAATTTCTCGAATTTCTCGAATTTCTCGGCGAATCGAATTAAAATTTTTTCAAAATTATCTCACCATACGATCTGTACCTCTAAAATTTGGAAAACATGTTACGATGAAAAAATCACTTATGGTATTATTAATATAACGAAAAGTTTCGTTTTTTTCACAAAAAAAGTCAAATGTATGGGTTAAACGCCATTTTATGGAAATTGAGAAAAAGTTCAATTATGAAACAATCACAGATTTCATCAAAGGTAAAGGTCAAATAAAAATTTACTAAAAATCTCACCAAGCGATCTATACGTCCAAAATTTGTATACAAAAATACGACGAAAAAATCAACTTGATGTACATAATAATTTAACGACAAACTTAACAAACTGTTGACAGGATTATAGTAGATTTCAAAATCTCATACTCTTCTCGCTCAATTTTTTTCAACTACCACAAATTTAAAATTTATTAAAAATTATTCCACCCCGTGTACCAAACTAACTTAAATATATTTAATTTCCTCAAGCCTGTCAGTACGATGGGTGTGGTTTGAGTAAATTAGGGTGGTTCCCCTGTCGTGGTGGGTGTGGGTAATGGGGTGGAAGAAGTGCTCCTACATCCACTTTCCATCATCTCGGCCACTGCACTCCATTACATATATTACATCATTTACCAATTATTATGCCACGCTATGTCCCAAGTCCTAGCTGGCTAAATCTCCTTCCACCCCATTCAACAAGAGGACCAAGTACCCAACTTACTTTACTTTCACTTGCTTTCTCCACCACCCAAAGAAGAATGACTTGCTCTCCTTGAACAATTTCGCCAAGAGAGAGAGAGAAACTACCTCAAACTACTTTTATTATTGCGGACATTTTATTTCTTGCACACTAAAAAAATGTGGGAATATAATTTTATTGCGGGGTTATTACCTACATATCTTGAGAGACAGATGGTATGATGAGGAGACGATAGATATAATTGTGGTAGAATCGGTTGCGAAAATTTTTACCTGGCCAACTTTTTGGTGAAATATCACAAAAAATGGACAAAGTTACATAAGAAAGTTACGTAATATAACAAGATCGGTAAAAAAAGTCTACCGGACAAAATGATAACAAAAAACTAACTGGTTGCAAATCTGGATCAGCGAAACGTTACAAAATTATAATAAAACTTTACCCAATTAAAACATTACCAATCGGTTACAAAAACTTTGTGACCAAATTGGCTACAAGGACTCATTTCATTAGTAGTAAGAATTGATAAAGACCTCTATTTTTAAATTTTATAAAATTATGAAAGATATTTAAAAATTTATGCCATGAAAGTGTACCTTATTCCACCACGGGACGCGTCATAGTTGAGGGTGAGGTTGTTATGTCGCCAGAGGATGGAGTATGTCGGGGGGAGGTGTGTAATCACACAGCGGAGTTCCACCGTCGACCCGGAATTGTAGTACTTATCCGTCATCTTTCGACCCAGATCGTCCACCAGGCTTATCTTCGGTACTGCACAAGAAACAATAACCAATTTAGGCACATTTTTCTCTATTATTTCTTGATAAACCCACATGAAATTGGTGGAAACGCACAAATTAAATATAGCAGTGATGAATTTACATAAAGATAAGTAGTTATCGTGACCTTATATAACCGTGTAATAAATATTTCAACAACACAATCTCACGATCTATGAAATTAATGGTCGCTGTGCATATTTGTATAATTTTTTTTAGCGGCGGTAAATACTTACAAATGTTTAAAGATTTAGCAAATTGACAAAGTAACGAATTTCCAGTGGATTAAAAAGACTCGAAAAAGAGTCGAATTTCAAAAGCTGGATTTATAATTTATAAAGCTGGACTTCTTCGTGAATATATGACACGAATCCATGTAAATAATTTAGCTAATGAATTTCAGTTCTCATATAACTCCTCGCTGTATGACAAATGCACAAAAAATCCCAATTAACATCTTTAACATCTATTTCAGAATATATTACGTTATGCATACGTTAAAATTGTTTGTTTTGACGTAAATATTTTACACAAAGTAAAAACTATAAAAAAACGTCTAATGGCAAATTAAATTCTTTCACTAGTAATATTTTATGTGCACATCAATCCCGTATTTATTTAGTCGCATAAAATCAACGAATATTAAATTGCAGTCTACACAATCAGTAGTGAACTAAAAGATTTAAATTCACTTTCCAAATTTTTGAAATATTTCGTATTTTATGGAAATCCTTAATAATTTAAAATTTAGAAAAAATAAGAATAACAATCCAACTTAAATTGCAGAATTTTTTAGATATCACATGAATAAAACTAATAATTACAAATAAGAAAAAATCTTGTACGTTTAATCGACAAAATTAAGACATCTATAAAAACCTGAGTGAAGCATCTCGTCAAAATTCCTACAATTTGATGCAGCATTTCATGCAAAAAGTTATCCACAACTTATAAATTCCCCCCAATTTAATTTCCTTAACTAGTAGTTTGACCTCTTATTTTATAAATTTGTTTACCAATAACGGTGAGATTGACCCCCATCGCTTGCGGTGGGTGGGACGAGACTTGACAAGCATATGCCCCCCCATCCGCCTTCTCGACCCCTTGAATCCGCAACTTCCAGTCGTCCGGCTGCTCAAAGTTGATGCTTAAACGGGTATCCTGCGAGTACGTGTGTAACCCAAAGGTCAACAATTTCACTTGACCGTCCCCCTCACCGCTTTGTTTCACCCAGGACACCTGCATTACAAAGAAACAAAAGTAGACCACATCAAAATCGAATAACTAAAATCCTTCAAAACCATAATCCATCATAGGCAAAATCTTCAAACAAATCTTCTCCGAGGGAAAAATGTGTCTGGAAAATGTGTCGCCTTCCAAAACGGAGAGAGAGATCTTCAAAGGAGTCAAAGTGAACGCATTCATCCTTTAAATATATAACTTGTGCTACGTTGCAATCTGTCCAGAATTGGGTGCGATGCAGGGGTTCAAAAAATAGAGAAGGAGAGGGTGTACGAAATGGGAGAAAGTGTGAGATTCAAGGATTTTCTACCAGTAAAAAGGATGCACGAAATGGGAGCCACCGAGTGGTGCTAGCTATGTTTTTTATCAATTAAAAAAAATCTTGTATTTTAATCACTTTTTATTTAAGACTTGAAAATAAGTTGCAAATTTTTCAAAAAATGTAATAATTAACTGCCACTGATTAAAAATATCATAATTTGATAAGTTAAAAGCAGTACTTTAGGTGCTTCTGGTGGTGCTGCGGTGATGCTACTTCAAGAGCTACTGTATGTTTTTCATGAATTTCAATGTCAGATTTGACCACAATTTGTCCCAGTGTTCATCACAATATTTTCTCCCAAAAACTGCACCCACCCGAAACCTAAAGAAGACCCACTTTTCTCTCATTTCTTTTCCCTCAACTACTAAACTAAACCATTTTTTGCTCCTAAAATAAAATGAATGAGAATGGTTTTTCAGGATTGGAAAGTGGGGAAAGGAAACGGATTTTAGGACATGTTTTCACTTTCACTGCGAAAAATATGAAATATGTTTTTTTTTCTGCACAAGCAGCCCTGACTTTCACCCACCATTCCAATATTGGATAAATGAACTATTTCCTTCTAAGTTGGATAAGTGATTACCCGTTACGTAACGTAACGAAACATGTACGTACTTATACATTTTGGATAACTACTCGGCCCGACAGAATCAGATAACTGTGGAGCAATAACACTTACGCCATGCCAGGCAAATGACTATGACGCCAATAAAATGTTACCTAATCCAATTTAACAACCTTGTGTGTAGCTGGCTGCATAATGAAAATTGGCCAATTCGCTTTTTAGCACGAGCAAGGCCTCAATTTACAACGGAGCAGTTTAATTTTGTATCAATCACTAATAAATAATCGGAGGTGACCTTTTTTCCCGAAAGAAAAATCAATCAGTCATCCTTCCCCTCTTTCTGGCTGCGATACTAATGAAGTCAAATGTCACATGAACCCAGACAGCGATAAATTAATGAATCATGATGTGATCAAGTTTCCAAATTGGGTGGAAATTCCGGCCGTATTTTTAACGAGAGAATCAATAAATCGGAGAGGATTTTAATGCTTGATAAGGAATCGATTGATGTACGAGGTGTAACAATTTTTGAGAAATTGGGAATTTAAAATTTTATATTTTGTGTGAGACTTTATCGACAAAAGAGAGTTTACTACATTTTAAGTGATAAATTAAGATGTTTAGATCTCGGGAATACCGGCCATTTTATCGATAAAAAAGCGAAAATTATTCGTGGAAAATAATTTTATGGCTACATAAAAAGTCGTAATTTTAAAATTAATTTTAAAATATTAAAATTCTAACACATTTTACAAATACTAACTCTAACAATGGACATTATTTTCGACGCTACAATTTCCAAAATTTCTCGACTTATAGATCGATTCGAATTTAAACTTGGGATTAAACTCTGTCCCTAAATATTGCATACGTTTTTGACGGTTTTATGCGATTCCATTTCAATTAGATTTTTCTGAAAAAATTAAATTTGTAATTTTCCAGAAATATTAAATTTTTAGAAAAATTAAAAATTAAGTGCAAGTTTAGCATCAAAAGCTAGAATAAATTGTTTTATCAAACAACATCCATGTACTTATATCGACAAAGCTTCCTTAAATTTTTAATTTTCCAGAAACATTAATTTTTTAATTTTCCAGAAAAACCAAATTTTTAAGTTTCCAGATTAAAAAAAATATTTCCAAAAACTAGGAATTTCATGCGAAATCCACCCACCGTTTTATCGTTGAGCAGGGTGACTTTGCAGTGGAGGAAGGCCGTTGATCCGAGGTGGACGGTGATGTTGGTGGGGTTGTCTGGCGAGAAGAATGGGAGTGGTTCGGCCGTCGAGGTCGTGGTGTCCTCCTCCGAATCGTAGTCGATGATCATGGGCAGGAGGGTCGAGTATGAGGGGTGCCCACTCGGCAGTAACATCAAAAACCACACCCCCCACAAGAACAATCCCGCCATCATCACAGAAATATAGGGAGCAGAAGTTATCTTCTAAATATTGCTTATCTATCACTTAGCCCAGGAAAGCTAAAGTTAATAAGGTCAAAATTTCGCGAATTTGTTTGCAGAATTTTACACTTTAAAATTGTTCACTTATTTATTTATTAGTTTGTATATTTTTACTAGGAGCTCTCAAGACTCAAAAAATGAGCGAAATGAGCAATGATCAGAAAAATAAAAAATCAGATTTTTCTGCTCAAACCTTGAACGTACCACTTTTTTTATCGATCATAATTCTTGAGAATCGTGATCTTTATTTGTTGGAAGTTCAATCATTTGTTTATCATTTTCATGGTTCTAAATGCAGTTTCATAATTCACAAAATGGCCCAAATAACTGAACGTCAAGAGATATTTGAATTTTTATCATTATTTATTTATTTTTATGTGGTCGTAATATGGTTTTAATGGAGTTGAACAACAAGCCCCTGATATTTTTAAGATGAAGCTGTGCCAGTCTATGAAAATATTGCAGGAGAATTACCGGACAGCATTTGTCTCAAATAATTCATTTTATGCAGCAGCAATAAACAATTATAAATCTTATATTTAGGACTTTCTTCGCAGCTAAGGGCCAAAGCATCTTGGAGACGACGAAGGAATTCAGTGTGTTTGGCTACCTGCTCAAAAATTTTTTTGCAATTAAGGATATGGTCATTCGAAATTACATGTGGATAAAAAACTATCATTTACCTTAAAAATGTAATTGTCGACGACATAGATAATGTGCCGTGTCAATTTTTATTTGTGGTGTCGAGTGAAAAGTTTTTCGGCCGCCTACCTCCACGACACTACGTTTGTTACGACAAATTACGGGATTTGCAACTTTTTCGACGCTGGTACTCTTAACCTTGGTCTTGGGACCCATAATGATAAAGAATATTTTTTAGAAAACTTTGCTTAATTTTTTAGCGAATAATTGAAGTAAACAAACAGCTGATGTGCTGATGTGGAGCAGAATGAGCAGGATTATGAGAGAAAAAATCAACCCAAAACTCGATTTTTTTCTTGAGCAAGAAAATCTGATTTTGAGCGAAATCGCATGCGCACAGCGGAGCAGAAAAGATCAGAATGAGCGATGAGCAGAAAAATCTGATCTTTTTTAGAGCTTTGAGAGGACCTACTGTCGAAATTTATAATTTACGTTGTAAATTGGTTTTAAGCTTTTTCAGATGTATTTTAAACATACGATAAATGGTATTATTTGATAACTTCGAGTATTAATTTGTCAACAATTTTAGCACTCCATGAATTTGGTAAGAAATTTGAAAAAATTTGTTTGTTTTTTTGCGAGTTTTAAGGTAATTTTAAGTTTTTAATTTTTTTTTAATTTGCGAGGTTTAAAGTCGATAAGGTTCTCTTAATAAATAAACAAATTTAGAAACATTTTCTAGATGAATTTTGCCGATTCCCAAAAATTTGGAATTTCCAATCAATTCTTCCAAAAGTTAATCACGATTCGTTATACAACTAAATATTCATGCAAAAAATGCCACATATTAAGTCGTCAAATGAAAGTCAAAAATTCCGACCCAATTTTTTTTATTACTTATTCATCCCCACCAGACCACGAAAGTAAAGTGGGAAAAGTTGAGAGAAAGTTTTTACACGAGAAGAAACTTGGTCAATCTCTCGATTCGATTGAGATTGTGGAGACACGCCAGAGAAGAAGAATGGAGAACACAATTCCGAGAAATCTGAACACAGACTGAAACCCGAGTCTGACTTTCACCATGCTTTTCTCCTCTTTTTCTCACTTTCTCCACGGCCAAATTTACTGAGACCTTCACCCAAGAGACGGGACGGGCCCAGAATTTCAGGAGAATTGAGACAGGCAAAAAATGCGTACAAACACACGGGAAATAATGCGGTGATAAAATTATTACCGAAACTGGTAATATTTTTCCATGTAATTTGCCTGAAATCGGTTACAGCGTTTCATATTAACAAATCAGATTTAAATTTTGTGTAGATAATTATTGCTACCGTTCGGTAACAAATTATTTTTACAACTATTTTTATTACCACATTATTTAGAGTGTACACATTGTATTTTATTACAAGTTACGCCATCAAGAAAAACATAATACGTAAGAAGTGTTACTCTAATTAAATGCCGTCACGATCACGATCACGACTACCTACTTTGTTAATAATGTTGTGTACTTTTTCGGGTATTCTGTCCTGTCTTTTTTATTGGGACGACGTGTTAGAAGTTGTCCTGGTGGTGGTGGTAGTGTCATCAGTCCTGTTCGCGTTCACAAGACATGCTGGCACCTCTTCACACTTGGCGACACAGTCGGCGCGAAGAATCCACTTGTTGGCGTTTCCGTTGCGACCCGTATAACCGAATTTGGTGCAGGATTTGGTCTCCGGGTCGAAATAGTAGCGGGTGAAGGGCTTCTTCCCAGGACCGCCGGGTTCTTTGGGGAGAAGGCATTCATCTACATAAAAGGAAACGTGATTAATTAGGAAGGTTATAATTATAGATAAGTAAGACTTCCTTACCGGGACACTTATCAGGTTTCCCCCCACTCGTGAGACTCAAAGTGGCCATGATGGCAATGGAAATTATAAAAAGACGCATTTTTGCAATGGATCAGATCAAATTGTGGCTGATAATTGTGCAGAGAGGGGAACGGATGCCACCTTTTTATAAAATTTGGATCATTAATGCAACGTCATTAATGACGGAGTTAAACGTGCTGTTTTTAACAAGATATTAGTCACGGATTCGTTATTTACTTGACAAAATATTGTTGTATGAATTAAACCGAGTGGAAATAAACTGACGCTGAATGAAACGGGTTTGAAATCAGTCTCGGATTTATTCTTGCTTAAAAAATAAGGCATTATAGAAATCCATACACTAATTCATAATTAATTAGTATTACTTTGTTTATAAAGCACCGTAATTATGCATAGAAAGAACTAGATCTTAAATATGCGACAAATTTGTAAGGCATGGCATAGCTAATCAGGTATAAAATTTTAGTAAACAGGGGAAATTTAGTGGAAAATTTATATACAAAATATTCCATTTGTAAGTATAAATATTTAGTTAAACTAACAACAACTTTTAATCAAGGCGACGTAATCCAACTGACGCCAGTCCCATAACACATCAAAATATCGTCCTCTGGTGATAAGACGAATCCTTGACAGTCCTTCACCCCACTCATCGCGGTTCCCAGTACGTCCCCACTTTCTACCCCCCACCTTGATACCACTTGGTCATTTGAGCAACTAAATATCACGTCTTCTAGTCCCTTCCCCCAAGCCACGCCCGCCACGGCGCCCCGTTGTTCTCCATCATGACTCCAAACTAGGTTCAATTTCGGTTCCAAATCAAAGTTTGTCAGCCTCCATAATGACACTGAACAGTCGTCACCCCCGAGAACAATGTCGATACTGCCGTCGTCATTCCTTGACCCTTTGATCGCCATACTCATCACGGCACATGTCCTGACTTGCTGTTGGAATGAGGGAGTCATCTTCTCGGTGGAAATTAGGATAACATCATCATCGCCATCGTCCCCACTATTTACTACTTTGGGAAGCCGCCACAACATCAAATCCCCGTTGGAACATCCTCCAAACACAGTTCTGATTTCATTTAACTCTGTGAGGTGGACAGTCAATAAGGCGTGGCCATTCCCTTCCAAAATAGTCAAAATTTCGAATCTCCCTTCACTCAAAGAGTGGGAAATGATGCGGAGTAGGCCATCAGAGCATGCAGCGCCAAGGAGGAAATTGTTCTTATCTTGACGAGGGAGCAGAGCAAGGTCCATAACTCTAATGTCAGTCTCATCCGCCTTGTTCAGCTTCTTCCTCCCTGATCCGACCAGGACGATGTGTCCGACAGGGCGACATTCTGCGTCCTTAGAGTTGAGACCTGTCACGATTTGTCGAATAAATAAGAATACATACGCGTATGTATAATTCCTAGTCCAATTTTTAGGTCTTACAAAAAATAGTGGCATTTATTTCTGATCTTCCCCCTCCCGACCACAAAAGGACGGAATTATCATCGTCTCCCAGCCGTATAGCAACTATTGTCCTCACACTAGAAGAATGTGTCGTGATGCGGTGGATAGTTTCGAACACGTGACCAACTGTGTAATATGATACGATACGGATTGTCCCATCCTCACTTCCGGTCGCGAGGTAGTAATACTCATCCTTGTTGTGGTCCATCGTTCCCAAGAGGATGCCACAGTTTATGGTTCTAGTGTGTAGACCGGGCTGTAAATATTAATTAAAATTAGTTAATCAACATTTAGAAAATAGTGACGTTATGACTTTGATTTGACTACTCACCTTGAGCACCGATTCTATCGAATTTCTCAACGTAATTGGACAAAAATAGAGCTCCCGATCCCGCATGAATGCCATAGTAGCATTCCCACCGTTATCGCTTCGCCAAGACCATCGCCTATGACCACCTCCAACGTCCGTGATCTCATTCAGGATACGTTTCTGTTCCCAACTGTAGAGGAGAAAGCTGCCCTGTAAATAAAATAAAGGTCAAACATTGTGCCTTCTCTCATAACATGACCTAAACTAAACCAACCCACCTTATGAAATCCTGCCACAATTAACTCCTTCCCAGCCATGGTCACCACCATACTCGCCACCCACGGAAAGGGGGGAAAGAACTGTTGTATTTGCGTCAACTTTGGAATACCTGTGGCCTCATCAACCTCCAGTTTTAACTTTTTGACCCCGCCGTGCTTCCCTCCACTCAATATCCACCCGTTGTACTCCACCAGGCATGTAACACCCTCCTTGTGTACATCTTTCAGCATAGACAAACTCTTAACAGGCGGCCCACAATGAATTTGTTCGGGAGTTGTTAACAACCCCGCATTGAAATCCTCTCTATGCTTTTGCCTCTTGTCTTTAGGATCTCCATACCAGACGTGAATGTTTCCCTCTTCATCTCCACCAAGACACCAGTCAAAATTGGGAGTGGTCATGAGAACGGCAGGCAGCCCGGGGCGGGTCAGCGAGGTCAGGTCGTATTTTATGAAGTATTTCCCGCTAACCCTTGTTGTTTTTGGATCAAAGAGTTCTTGACCAAGTTTTGGACTTTCACGGGTGACACCAGGTTTTAGATGACGGTAGAATTGAAGTACATAAGCTGTAAAGAAATATGTAGACATAAAACATTTCATTAAGCTTCAATAATTAATTAAATAATCACCTGTGCCCAGAGTGACTATAATGCAAGTCATTCCCCCCGGGACCCAATGAATGTTAATAATTTTGGACTCGAATTGATGTTCGAAGACATTAGTGCAAATGAATGCCTCCGGAAGACACGGCTGGTGATTTTTTGACCAATCTGCAAGTTCCAAATAAAAATTATAGTAAAATTTTGGTACATTTTATACATCGGCATAATTACCTTCGACCACAGTGTGCATTAACCAAAATTCCCCCCTGATCCCACCCAAGGCGAGGAAGTGTTCGTTTGTACACAAGGCCATCACTCCGCCCGTCTTCCTCATGTTAACATGATACCAGACACAGGCACGTTGAAACTTGCGGGTGCAATTGTACGCCAAAATGCGCCCCTTATCCATTAACGCTAAGAGATAGTGTTGCCCCCAGACAATTACATTACGGGGAAAATCTTTATTCGCTGAAATTGAAATAACAGAAATAATTAATTTTAGAGTTACAGTTGAAGGTCAATAATATTAACATCAAAAGCTCGTATTCTTACCCACGGATCGCTCATATTTATTAAGAATGACCAAATGTGCCGTCATTATGCAAGGGGTGAGCCTATCCCGGAGGATGAGCTTTGGTTTGTTCTGGTAGGCAAAATCTCGCCAAATGTTAACCGCACCATCGTGTCCTCCGGTGTACTGGTTAAACAAATAACGATTAAGTACTTTGGGATGGGACATGATTGACAATGCAAAATTCTTACGAGAAGATTGTAGCGATCGTCGTGAACACAACTGTAAATTGGAGCACCATCATGACCTCGCCAGTTCTTTGAGACGGTCTCATCATAGCTGTCGACACGGATGTAAGAGTCCTAATGTTATTAATCTTTAGTTAATATTGAGCAAAATGACAGGACATTAATTATTTAGTAAGTCGTATATCACTACCTCTCCGACCGAAATCGTGAACAAGAATCCCTCAAAAGTAACCCAAATCGCGTTCCAAACACGTGACTCGTGTCCTGTCATTGTTCTTTGTACTTGGACTAAAGGGGGCAGCCAGTGTTTAGGCGTTTCTGGTTCTTCTTCGGCCGGTGGTTCCCTAGCTGGCTCAACTTCCGCTTTGTCTCCCTCACCACCTTGTTCAGCGCTACTCTGACCCTTTGGTTTTATGGACACCGCTTTCATCTCAGCCATTAACTTTGCCTTAGCAATCATCTTATCTGCCCAGTCGAGACTGATATTTTTTCTTGTCGAGAAAGTCCACACTTTTACCGTCCTGTCGTCCGACGTGGACAAGAGGAAATTCCACCTCTCGTTGAAACAGAGTGAAAATGGAATCCCTGAGTGACCTTCTAGTCGATGGAGTACAATACCCGTTTTTCCATTCGGATCCGGCCTCCAGACAAGAATTCCTTTCAGAGTCGTCCCCGCAAATATGACCAGCGATTCTAAACTCTTTCCCGCAGTCGTGGCGCAGTAGAGCGTTTCCGCTTCAGATCCCCATCGCCCAATCTCGGTCATGCTTAATATTCCTGTTCCTTCCTCGGCCAGAACTTTGAACAGGACTAGGCCGTTGAGGAGTGTCACCATTGCGAGAGTTTCGCCATCGTCCAACCTGTAGTTAGATTTAATTAATTAACGCTACTAATCGAAGTCGAGAATTAATTAATTAATTTTCACCCACCATCTCGCCGCAATCGGAATAAAGTCCAAGTTCACAATGGCTGACCTTGGCGTCATAACCGTAGCTAAATCCAAGTCAATTCTGACCAGAGTGACCGAATTATGTGCCCATACGACCCCCTTAGATTCACCCCAGGAGCCAAAATCCTTGTAAAAGCAGAGACCTGTGTTTGTTTTTAATAAATGTTATAAAAATCCTGGCTCGATTTTCATCAAAATTCACCAAAGTTAAATAAATTTCACTCACCGGAAATGGCGACATGGTTCGGGAACAGTTGAAATGTGGGGGGTTGACACTTTTTCTTAACAATTGGACGATGTTCATTGTGAATGGTCAGAATTACGATGGAGGGACCTTCCGCCGCAACGACGGAGCAGTTTTCCAACAGAGCGAGAGATGTGATTGGGGTGCATTGGGCGAGCAGGTGACCTGGCGAGGTCATCCTTGTCGTGTTTCTTCGGTGTGGGGGTGGTTTTCTCGAGTGAGAAAATAATACCGAAATTTTCTGTTACTTATTTTTATTTTGTGCATCAACTTTTTTTGATGAAATAAGTTGAGCACATTATGATGCTGCTGCCGGGTGAGATTTGTTCTCGGATGGGGTTTCGTGCTACGATCGAACTCAAATTTATGAAAAATTCGTGCCGACATGTAAATTCACTGCAGAGAAATTTATCAAATTTTTTCAGTAAATAAAAGAAACAGAAAATGATTTTGCGAATCAAGATAACGAATCATTGGGCGTCAGATTAGATCGAATTTAACTTGGCATATACTTTTGATGTTCTAATTTTTTCATGAATATCGTACATCGCACATTTAATCTTTATGCATCATTCATTCTCCTATGACAAAGAATACAACTATGATTATCAAAATTATAGAGTTACATATTTATCACTCCATATTTATTATTTCTGTTACGATAATCCTTTTCGAATATAACACTTTTTATGTAAACTAAAATTCGTTTTCATATACTTTCTGGCATTCTGCAATTTTTCGGCGTCTTGATCGTCGATATCTTTAAACTAGTGGTGTCCATAAGATGAAAATAATCGTCATTTGTAACTACTCTTTTTCGTTAAAAGCCTGCAGATCCAAACAAAAAATTATTCATCGTTTCCCAAATTATTTCCGCAACGTTCATATATTTCTTAACTTGTTTCACCTCGCCAACATTGAACTGAGCAATCCCATTAATGTGATCATATCCAATGTACCTACAACCCTTCTGGAGTTCGCATGCTTTTTGTACAGTCGTCCAGTAGTTGAGGACTTGAGGGTCACGATTATTCTGCTGAAGCCTTCTCCCAGATTCGTCCTTCGGCCAAACATTCTTGTTCACAATGCGCGTCGGGACGGAAAAGTTGAATTCAAAATTTATCGTGTCACGGTCAGCATCCCACTAAATTAAATTAAATGAACACTAATTAAATTTAGATTTTGTTTGGATATTCTCAATAATTTTCAAGTCACCAATTCATCCAAATTCATCCCGAACACGTCAACATTTCCACAGAACGTCATGCTGCCTATGTCTTCATGCGTCACGACAAAATTGTTGACTTTACATGTTTCGTTCAGAGTGATTCTGTTCAATTCTTGAATACTTGGAATTGTTGAAATTTTCTTGTTTTTGCAATTCACCCGACAAATGTTGCGATTCAAAATTATGTCTTCCACGGCTTGTTTGGCAGCAGATGGGATGCGAGGGATTATTGGTGGAGGACATGGCACGACGGGGTTGTACTGACTTGTTTTCGGTGGGGGGAATATGGTTCCCAGGAAATTTACCCATTCGTGACCACTCACCCCCTTTCTGGCCATTTCGAAAGCCTCTGAAGCAATTCTTGCTAGTGGAATGGGTTTGGCGACTGGTGGAACATTTTTTTTGGGGGGTCGTGGGGTATAAACATTTGCTAAGAAATGTGCCCACACGGGACCACCCAACCTCTGCTTCACCTTTTTGAGAGCATCTGGAGTAAGATCGGTTAATGGGATGAGTTGTGCAGTCCTTAGGCTTTCGGGTTGACGATGAATATCAGGATGACGACCTTCAGGGGGAGGTGGACCAACATCGTTAGATTGTTCCAGTTCCATGTTCCCAGGTAGTGAGCGGTTTCCGGTGTGAGTGTCCAAATGATAACCAAGCAGACTATACAAATTTTTCTAAATTGTCTGCGTGAAATTTCTGTCAGTGTTATCTTGAATTTTATTTATGAAAAATTGCATACAATTAAAGCCGTGACGACAGCCTGCAGTGGTATTGGGGATTTGTCGACATAACCAATTTACCATAATTTGGTCATTTTCTATTTTTTTGTAAAATTCATGTTTGCTCATTATTTGTTACATTTATGATTCAACCCAAACTTAATAATACAATAATTTTTACATCATCATTAAATTACCATAATTTATTTTTAACTTTAACTAATCTCTTAATTTTTAGGAACTGTCCTCCAATCTGATTTATTTAACTCGGTTTATATAATAACTTGTCATATTTTACTTTCGGATGTAAATCCTTCCATAAAATCCAAACCTGTCAAAAAAATTCGCTTTTATACATTGCTCCAAAAGTTATGTAACGTAAGTATTTACTAATAAATAAATCCATCATCATCTTCTTCCATGCATCAACACGGTCACAAATTAGTATTCAAATTCTTATGGCCTGATTTATTACACGACCTTCCCTCTTTCTCAAGCACGACGATGATACTGGATTAACTCGTCCTAATGACTCGTAAATAGTTTCAATAATTCCTACCAAACCAAACCAGTCACTAAATTTCGCATAATTTGCCAATTTTTTCCCATTTCACAACCACTGATTGATTCATGATTATCCAAAACCCTATCCTTATTACTGTCACGACCTCACTTACAATAAATTCGTCCCCTTTCTGATTGAATCTCAATTTCAACTCCAGCTCATTCTTTCAGTCAGTCAGGAACTTCTTGTTAAAGTCAACAAAACAAATTAACTATGTACGATCATCAAATAATTTTATCTCATTTACATAAATTTCATGCAAAAATTCGCACACGACGAAATACTTGGACACACACGTGCAACCAATTTTGCTCCAATTTTTGCCCCATTGTTACAAAATATCATCCTGATTTTGTTTAAATATTTATTAACTTTTAATTGAAATTGGAAATACGTCTCGAATTGGATTTCTCTCTCCCTTGCATCGCTTCCTTCCTACGTGTAAATATGTAAGTCTCTCACCCAACCAACGTGCTTATCATCATGCACGTTGAGATTCATGTTTGTTGATTGTTTTCTTTGTTAATAAGTTATTCCGCTTCTATTGTTGAGAATTGAATCGCTCGCGTCGTGACTGCGTGAATCCACTTATTGCATTGTTGCATTATTTTATTTTATATAGATTTATGACTGCGTTGCTTGCTTCGTAATAGTAAACGAGATTCCGAGAGATATCTTTCTTCCATGCGAAAATTTTGCAAACTCAAATTTGCATTCATGAAGTGGTGGTCGCACATTTTATGGATCCAAAATTTGTGATATCGTAATATCTGCGAAGGCAGAAAGATGATCGTAAAATATATGGTAAACTGGTCTTAAAAAATTAAATGAATCGAATGACCTTTGCTCTTAACTGCATTTTTTATTTAGGAATCGATTTTTTTAAGAAATATTTATTATGCATTTCCGGTTAATAAGTGATGATTGATGATAATCGATTTACTGCGACTCTAAAAGAATTCAGAATCCCGTTAATTCTTCTATTCTTCTTTCCATTTTATTACTTAATTGAGAACAATATATAATTAATTAATATGGTTAACAAGATCAGGACGCTAAATAATAAGTGTAAATGGAGAGCAGAATTTCATAAGTTATTTAGTTCCGCTATTATTACAAAAGAGGCTCAGTTTTTCTCAAGTACTCCGATGGAAATCAAAATCTCCGATCGCATTCAAACTTTTTATACTAATTCTTTATGGGATGAGAAATATTACCCCAAACCGATTTTTCGACATTTAAATTTTTGGCGAAATTATGACAAATTTTAAATTTCGATTTTTTGATTTTTTCTCTCAAATTACGAATAAACCATTCATCAAAACCATATACATTCCTATATCATTGTATTCCTATTTTCATTAGGACCCAGTTCATGCATTAAAATTTTCCAATATGTGGAAATTTGAAAAAAGATAGTGCTAAATTCTGTCAAATTGATGGTCCATTTTCACAAAACGTTTTCATTTCCCCAGGTCAAATTTCTGAACATTGATGCCTTTGACATTGTAGAGAAGGATATCAAAAAATTGACATGGGGAAATGAAAACGTTTTTTAAAATTCAACTTTTAAAAAATCAGAAAACTTGTAATAGGCTCTTACGTGGCGCATGTACAAAAAAATCTAAACGCTTAAATGGCAGGAAATTTAGTGTCGTAATTCAGTGAACCTCCGTTTCACGACCACATACATTACCCGAACGAGCCGAATTATTTTATTATTTGGCGTTTTTTTATTATTTTTATTTTGGCGTTTCAATTATTCAATTTCGTATGATTTAAACGCCGAAATAAAAATAACTGGTGTAAAATAATAAAATAATTCGGCTCATTCGGGTAATGTACTCCATGTGATGAACCCAAATAGCGTGAACATTTCACGCCACTGGGGGAGTTGAGCTGTCTCAATCACCCCATGACTTTGAGTTTTACAGAGTACTTGAGAAAAACTGAACCAAGAATCACAACATTTTACTTTTAATTGGCGATGAGAGATTATTAATTAATTAAACAATTACATACATAATTAATTAAATCGTATTTAATAACTACAATAATTAGGCTATCAAGTTATCATTTTTTAAGAAAAAAAAACTTTTTCCTCGATTTTTCTGGAGATTTTAATTAGTTAAAAAAAGGTAACGTTTCTTGTCATAAATTTTGGCACTGCTGGTAAAACATACGAGCGTTATTGGTATAAGGTGGGGTTTTTTGGGGGGAGGTTGTCCTTTTATTACAGCCTTATGTACAAACTCTGAGGAAATATGAAGAAGGAAATATAGAATCGCGAAAGAAAATAGTGCTCAGATTATTTTTGCAACAACTTTTTTGCAACTTTTTTTTGCACGCACGATACAAAATGGCACACTTTAATCAATTAATTTACACCTCAGAAAAAGAACATGACTTTTCCTCTGTTTGACTAATCATTCGTGCGTGCAAAATTGTATTTCCGAACACTGAAAATAAATTGAGAACCCATCACCAAGAACAAAACGTAAGGAAAACAAACATCAGTTAAAAGAACAACAAACAAAATGCACCAAATTTCCAAAAAAAATCTAAACATTAAAAAAATGTTATATCACAATCCCCTCCACGAAAATCATTTCAACGTAAGCTCGGAGTGTGTGTGGGGGGTCACTATGTATTTTATTTATGTAATTTTTGGCAATTTTTGGCCTTTTTTCTTCTTAATACTGCTCCTTGACCTTGACCTCGTCCTCCTGGTCGTCTGGACCCCGCCGACGTCTCCCCACAAATTTGAAATCCCTCTGCGCCGTAAATCCCGTCGCGTTGTTGGCCGTGTAGTGAATAACGCGACGAATTCCGAAGGGGTCAACGTACCCGAATGAACCCAGACGACCTTCTTGTGGGGTCGATTCCTCCCTAATTTAGGTAATTCGTTATTTTAATAGGTTAAATTAATTAAGATATATATTTAGGAAGAAAAGTTTGAAGAATTTAATTTTCAGGAAATTGTCACGAACAAATTTTGTCAGTTAGTGACGCCAATAAAAAAATTAAAACTTAAATTGAATTAAGTGGATAAAATAGATGTATAGGTCACCGTATTATCTTATTTTATCTTAAATTTTGGGATTTAAAAAAATATAGAACTATTATAGAACTATTATATTAGGGCACAATAAAAATATACTGTGCCCTAATTTTTGGACTATTAACAATTGACGCAATTTTACTTTGTTCCGAAATCATTGTCTAATTCATAAAATACAAAAATTTACAAAAAAATAGTAAAACCTTCTTCCAATTGAAAAAAATTGTAACAAAATGTTAAAAAAATTTACAAAATTTCCAACTCTCTCTTCATATCTCACTCACCTATGGAACTGCTCCGGAATTCGGTAGACGAAAGCTGACCCGGGCGTGCGGGGTCGAATTGGGCGATTTATTTGATACTTGCCAAACACATCGCCCACCGTTTCTTCAGCACTCTCAACTAAAGGAACAGAAAATACCACAAAAAAATGGAATTTCACACTGAATTTGTAATATATTATAGTTTACATTGGTCTAGTCTGGAGAAGATAAAATAACTAGTCACGATCCTTTCATAATACATATTTGAACTAAAAGTTATGTAGTTGTAGGACAGAGGAGGATGGAATTTGCATCGTAAATTTGCATCTAAATAGTCCTTCTTTGTAGGTACAAACCCCACAATTATGTAGTACACCCATTATTATTATCATCAGCCACAAAAAGTTGAATTCCTCCACATTTTGTACTACACTCGACTAATCATAACTTTGTTGAGAAAGGGTTCCTTATACACAAGAAGCTGTTTTTAAGAAATATATGATTTTACGCCGTGTAAAATTCCATATTTCTGCAAATTTTTAGCTAAAATATGAATATGCACTGATGAGTTTAAAAACCCTTCTTAAAATCGAATAATAAATTAGAAAATTGTAAGTCCCTATTGAGAAAGGGTTCTTATAAAACGCTGTTTTTTTAAGAAATATGATTTTACACCGTGTTTTATTACATATTTCTGCAAATTTCTGACTAAAATATGAATATGCACTGACACTGATAAGATGGCTTTAAAACCCCTGACTTATAATTAATTGATTAGAAACCTGTAAGTCCTTGTGGCCTTCTTCTCCTCGTGGCGACTTTGCCATTACGAACATTGGCGCTCCGCAGGGGTCCGTAGACGATCAGGACGGGGGCCTGGTGCGCCCTGTGACTTACAGAGTCTGCCGTTGGCGTGGACGCGGAGGGACTCGGATCGTAGGAAATGATCCTCTTTTTGACCACTTTGAACAGCGTTTTTCCTCCAAGCGGGACTCGGAAACCGATCTTTTTAGGAAGTGGGGAATTCGACGATGTTTGCTTCGAAAGATGGTGAATTTTTGGCTTTTTCGGCTCCTCTGGCAAGATAGAGTTCGTGCCGACGAACTGCATCGAGTTTTTGAGGACGCGATATCCCTTCGAATCTGGGAGGAAAAGTAAAATTATTGGATATTAAACTCGTTGTTAATTTGGTTAGGTTCTGTCGATTTATGAATTAAACATTTGTATTGGAAAATGTATACGTTACAAGTCAATAAGTAAATTTGACGATTTTTAATTTAATAATTTCGTAATTACATAGGTTGTACCAATCGATCGCACATAATGTTACTGAAAAATATTGTTCTTATGCATAAAAAGTATGAAATATTAAATTTATTAATAAAATATTAATAAAATATAAAATACACTTCGTTATGCATAAAGTGATTATCGTGAATCTGTCAGACGAGAGGACGGACATACTGGTTCCATAAGTCCTGATTTGGGATAAATCGTACTCTTTCAAATATTAAAACACATGCATGCATACTTTTTGGCCTGATTGACCTATGTAATTCTAAATTAAATAGTATTTATTTATTTATTTATACTTTGTCTCAATTCACACAAAAAAACTATCCAAAAGATGTTGACTCTTAAAAAATTAATAAAATTTCCTATCGCCAAACATTACATTTCCACAAAATAATCACCAATTATCACAAAATCCCCATCTCACCCGCAATATAATCCGTCATCCTAAGATAACCGGTCGGATCGACCCAGCCATAACTTCCAATGACCGTGCCATCATCCAACCTCCGCTCTTTGCGGTACTGCCCGTTGTACGTTTGAAACCTGAAAAAGCGCTCCTTCCCCTCGTCCGTCTGAATGTGGTATTGCGTCGGAGTGGAGTCTTTGTACCCAGAAATGGCACCCTCCACCGGACCCACGTGCAGCACACCGCCTCCCACCAAGAGGAGGAGGATGACGACCAAGGGTGACGACGCCATCTGAGAATAAGAACAATTAACCACGTTATTTAAGAGTAATACTTGGATTACACGGAGTTTAGTGGAAAAATCGAATTATTTAAGAGGGCACAGTTTCCTTCCGTGGTCAACAGTGGCCGCGGAGGCCGTGGGGACATCTGGGGACATTAACATTGTAGGATAGGGGAGGGAGGGATTATATAACATGGGGAGATGATGGGGTCATCAACTGACCGTGGGGACAATGTCCCCAAAGGTCCCCACGCTTCCGCGGCCACTGGTGGTCAGTTTGGCTGGCAGGTACTTTACGACGTCCTTGGGTGTGGATCAATCTTTCATCTCTTTTGCCACCCACGCCTAATAATTCATAATTTAGTTTGTTTCTTGGTTTGGATTTAGAGTCGAGGTTGCTTATTTATTTACAAGCTGCTTTTGTCTCCCTTGTTTATGTATCAAGGAATTTATGCAGCCTCACAATTATTTCAAGTGTTTAATAAACGTGGTGAATGAATTTAAAAAATGACAAGTCAAGAAGCCAAGTGTTTTTAACGACTCGATTAAACAGCGTTACGCAGCAGTTGTGTGGGCGGATGGGATTTTTAGGTATATGTATAAAATGACTTCATTCTTGTCATTGTGTACAGAAAAATAATTCATAAGTATTTAGATTCAAGATCATTTCTCGTGTAAAATATCATAACGAAATTACATATCAATATCAAACCACTCATTTAATTAGTATTATTCTCAATTAATTTGCATATGTACAAGCAAAAGTCATGTCTTCTTGAATAACACTTTTGCTTTCGTTGTGCTACTTGAAACTTGAAAAAAACAGGTAAACGCTCAAGTGGTGATCGTTGAGATCAAAATTCCTCAATTTTTTCTGCCCTCTTCAACAAGAAGAAGTCATTTATTTCATTCTTCTTAATAATAAATAATTGGCCACGTACGTACGTGTATCAAGTGTGTGAGCTAAAGTCATGTACAGAATGCTAATTTGTGCTACTACCTACATATAAAATTTATACGGTAGCAAGAATCTAGTGAATCCAAGACATTTATCATTTCTAAAAAAAACAAGTGCCTGCCTGGATTGGATTGGATTAAGATTTTACAAATAATGCGAAATGACATCAATTTATGGCACAAAAATTTATGACATTTTATGTTTCATTTTTCACAATTTGCTTACATCCCCGCAAACAAAATTCTGCACACATTTTTGCACCACTTAAACGAACTTATTTAACATGAACAATAAATAAAATTCATGAATACAAATAGAGCAGATTTCGCCCTGATTTTATTTAGTACCAACCAAGTTTTACGTCACGATTTTACTAGTTTTCTTCTTAAAATAATTATCTCAAGCCAGACTTTGAGTTGAGAGGCGTGGGCAATAATATAACGTAATAATAATAACACTAAATAAAAATTATTTCAAAATTGCGGCCGACCAAGAAACCAAATTGGCTCGAATATCTAACTAACTAACCAACTCAGTCAGGCATGGCCAACAAAATAATAATAATAATAATAATGACGTCGTCTAATGGGAATGGTTGACCAAACCAAGTCAAGAAATATGCTAATGAATCACAGAGGAAATACGTAACTAAAGTTGATTATTGTTGTCGCCTGAATTTATTTCCGCCCCAGAATTAAAATCAAAACCTGTGGTCGAACAAAGACGATGCATTAATAATTTTCCGCCTTACAAAGTCCGACGGAAAACTAATTTCAATTCATTCTTCTTCTTCTTTTGTCTCAGTGGAGTGGTTTGGATTGGATATCAGCTTGACGTGTGGGTCAGAGATCACAATACCACCCCAAAAAATGCACCTATCTGTTTAGCCATTATTTATGTATGAGGACTGTCCATCCATATCGGAAACGAAGCGATGAGAGGAGTATCCTTTTCTTTCTTTTTGTGACATAATAGGTCATGATAAATTATTGATGGGCATGAACCCAACGGAAATGGAAAGTGGATAAGTGCTCGATATTATTATGTGTTATCGACAAAGGAATCATTGTCATAACTTGTACAATTTTTTGATCGATTTTATTATTCTTAATACAGACGCTAATTACTCTTCAGACCCACAAAGTTCTCAATAATGGAGTATTTAGTGTCCAAGTATTTAATGGGTGACCACAATTATTTATTATTTATGCATTCCGATCGGAAATCATAACTCGTACAATTTTTCCTCATTTTCTTATCGATCTTATTACATTTTAATACGAACGCTAATTACTCGTCAGACCCAGAAAGTTATGCGTATCTCTCAATAAAATAAATCCTCCAAGTATTTAATTTAATGACCGATCAAGTTATTATTTATGCATTCCGATCATCACATCGATAACTGCATTAAATGGATGACCCATTTTTGGCGTGCGCAGATGATGCAAAAAATTAATGGTGTCACTAATTTAAGTAATTCCGGCACGATAACTATTAAACGCACTTTGGTCTGATTTTATCCTCCTGATTGACGACGACTGACGTGGAAATTATTACGATCAGATTCTGATCATCAGAATTTGATGCGCCTAAACTAAAAAATTTCGACCCTGAACCAACTCCCACCTTTAACGTCTCCCTGAAATTCGGACGACAATATCCGCATTGTTGTTGGCATTGAACTCCATGCAGAAATAGGCGCCTATGCAAAAATCGTAATCTTCTTGTGGCCTTTTACTGACTACTCTCGATCTCATTGTTGTTGCTTGCTTACTTGTTATGATTAGGATCGTAAGGTTGCGACATGTGCACACTTTTTTTGTCGCCTTAATCCCACCCGTGTTGGGTTGGGGTGTAAGACATAGTTTGAAATAATTTGGATGTGTATGTATGTAATTTGACAAAGAAATATTGTTAGGCAATCACAAATTGATGTGATGTCCACCAACCAAACCAACCATACGGCATGTAAATGGTTGAGAGATTAGTATTTGGATGACAATGACAACGCCTTCGTATACATGTGTTCACTCGACACAATAATGGACACACTTTTACGTCACGTTACGTACATAGGCACAACAACGACGCCGAACTAACTACTAAATCTGACCAGACCATGGTATCTGTAAAGGTGAAAATACGTATAAATATGTGATTAGTAGGGTTCCAAAAATTTGAAATGAGGAGGAAAGTGCTTAGTTTCTGGTAAAAATTGTGGTGAAAATTCGAGACGCGAGATTGACCGTTTCGAACAATTTGGAAAGATACAATTTTTTACAATGATCATTTTTAGACAGGATGACACAAATATAGAAAATGTATTGGATTAGCGACGTTTTTATAAAATTTTGAATATTTTAATACGCATAAAAATGTCAGATCTTTTTCTACTTTCTTCATAAATTCGGTAGTTTATAATACCACCAAAATAATTAATTTCTTAAACCAATTTTTGACACACTGTAACATTTTCATAATTCCAAATCCTAATTTATTTTCACTCGTCACTCACCCCATAACAATCAGAACGTTTAATATCACGACGACTTGTAGACGACGACACAGAGCAGATTCAAAGTTAATCCTGCTCTTTGTGAGAGACGTTATGGAATGGAATGTGCCATTATTATTATTTGTCCATCAAGGAATCGCTCTAAAAGGCGGTGGTACTTAATTGTGATGGTGTAACGGCACATCACTCGACACAATAATGTCAATGTTATCACACGTCATTTCATTTCAGTGGAGGGAGTAGTTAGTTAGTTGGATAAACTAAAATTAAATAGTTTACATACGTTTATCTAGAGGCAACCAACGCCATGGGGAACCTAGGAGCGAAAATTAATAAAAAGTTGATTCCTCGCAGCGTCATCATCTTCTTCATTTGGTGACATAGTCCGGATATGTATGTACTTTCTTATGGAAAATGATTTTAAAATATATTTATTTACGAAAAAATAAATTTTCAGCAGACATCTTCGCAATATAATTGAGATTTTCCAAACACCTGATCTTTTTGGAAGTTTAATTAGGTATTTTAAGGAAAATAATACAAAAGCGTCGAAATCATGGAAAACTTTTTTTGATAATAATAGTCGATGAAATATTCCAAAAAAACCTTATCAATTTTTGAAAAATAGTCGAAATATTGAAAAACCTGATATATTTTTGAAAAATAGTCGAAATATTGAAAAACCTGATATATTTTTGAAAAATAGTCCAAGTATTGAAAAACCTTATAAACTTTTGAAAAATAGTCGAAATATTGAAAAACCTGATATATTTTTGAAAAATAGTTGAAATATTGAAAAACGTATTTTTGAAAAATAACCGAAATATTTACAAAGTTTTCATAAATATTTACAAAACTTTGAAGAAGTAATTAAAAGGGTTATTAATCTAAATATTCTAACCTTATCCAACAAACCCAAAAAAAAATGTCACAGTCGTCGTTGCCCATCAAATAAAGAATAAATAACCGCTGTCTGCATGTTCATCAAATCAGAGGTACATACGACATATGTAAAATCCAATTAGGACTCGTTCAAGGTGCACGTACAATACAAATATATACGAGTCAGAAATCTGAATTAGTAGCATTGAATCTATTTACGCGAGATCCCGTTAACTTAAAAAGTGAATGAGAGAGAAGTGCACTTGATTATTATTTAATCATCATCGACTCCAATTTCCACAGAAGAAACCACCCACGCGTGAAAAAATGAGTCAGTCAGAGACGAACGAACGACTTGTTTAATTACGCCATGCCGATCGTCGACATGGTGTGGACAGAGTTAATAAACGGTTGGAAGAAGTAGAAAAAATGTGTGGGACGACCTTTTTTGGCCAACGTAAACTATTACTCAATCAGAGATCCATCCGTTGTCGAAATCGTTGGGTCTGGTCACTTGGAAGATTTCGACAATTAAGATTTTCTTAATTATTTAAATATTTAAATACTAATCTAATCTGTGAGGTAATTCAGTTTACGAGAAATTTAAATCTACGTCTACGACCTACTGACTGACTTATAATTTGAAAAACA